TTTCCTTCATTCGAAGAAATGTTTGGTTTGCTCCCACTTTAAGTCTAGTTTTAAGGTTCCGCCTAACAATTATATTCACCTACGATTACTATTAATTTTATATGCTTACTGTTATCTTTATTTTTTTTAAAAAACATTAGCATACTAAAAATATCCTAATTCATGGAGGCAATGCTAAGATTTCAGATTTTGGTCTATCTAAATGCCTTAATAGCACAATAACAACTAGAAGCAAAATATTTGGTGTCATACCATTTATTGAGCCACAAGTATTTCATGATCGGCACTACAAACCAGATAAAACATCAGACATATATAGTCTTGGCGTACTTTTTTGGGAGATTTCGAGTTGCCGTACACCATTTCGTGACGCAAACCAAACTACACTTGGAAACGAAATTTTTATGGGTTTACGAGAAAAGCCTGTCCCTGGAACACCACTAGAATATGTTCAGATTTATTCTGATTGTTGGGAGACAGAACCTACTCGACGTTTAAAATTAAGCGATATTCTTAATCGGCTAAAAACGACAAAACTTACTCCAGTTTTTGAAGATTCAGTTATTCCTGAATCAGAAGTAACATCTGATCTATATTTGCCAACCATTGGTAAAGTGCTCGAATATTTTTAACCGTCAAAATAAGGTTTAAATTATATTATCATTTATTTAACATGTTATCAATTATTTTAGATCACAATTTTGCATTTCTTTCAATGACTAGCGATCCCTACACTCAGATAAATGATGCTTCATCATTCTTTGACCCAAAAAATGATTCAGGAACTATGGTTGAGCAAACAAAAATTTCGTTAAAAACTATAGATGAATTGTGGAATTTTTTTGAGAATATATTATTTATTCACTCTGATGATTCTGTAATAAAATTCATGATCCTTCAATATTTAGAAACTCGCAAAATTCATGAAATTGAAATTTTTAAGCTACTTTATGATAATCAGACAAATACAAACAATTATTGTTTACTCGGATTTTTTTATTATGTTGGAATTGGAACAGACCAGAAATATGATGAAGCGTTTCAGTTATTTATTAATGCTGCACAGGGTAATAATTGGATTGCTCAGGCTTATATTGGCAACTGTTACTTAAAAGGGCATGGAACTCAAGTTGATGAAAAATTAGCCGTAGAATATTACGACAAAATAGATTTTAGGGTAGGTGTTAGATTATATAAGTTTGGTCATTGCTATAAAAATGGACATGGGGTTGAAAAAAATGAAAACAAAGCATTCCTATATTACCAAAACTCTTCTGAGATGGGAAGTGCAATAGGAACTTTTAATCTTGGTTATTGTTATGAAAATGGAATTGGGACCGAAAAGAATGAGCATAAAGCATTTTTTTATT